CATATCACATCTGTCTGTCACACTGTGACTTGCACTGCCAAAGCATTATCTCTATTTAATAGCTCTGTCTTTTCTATCTTGCTTCTCCAAATTCCCATACAGAAGCTGTTTTCATTGTGTGTGTGTGTGTGTGTGTGTGTGTATTCATTTTTCTTCTTAACCTTTGCTGAACTCCCTACCCATAACTTTTGCATGAAATTAAAGCTGTTCTTTTTACATAAACCTCTCTATTTTGCATTTCTTTCTTCTGCTCCTCCTTGTGTTGAAATTTGGGGAGGGATCTGCTTTTTTTTTTTTTTTTTTGCTTATATAACTTGATAAAGCTTGATAAATTTGAATAATGATGTTTACAAAAGATCCAAATTCAGTCAGCTATTCAGCACTCAGCGATCCAGCATTGTAACACAGTCTGTACTGTAGGTTGTTAGAACATACATATATCATCTAGAATTATTCAAAGGAAAGATGCTTGTATAAAAATAAGTTATTTATTCATTTATATGGTCATATTTATAACCTGCTGAATTCCAGCAACCACAGATTTCTGGCAAATATTTGAAATACATACTGGGCATATTTTAAGTGCATTTTAATTAATGAGGCAAGAGATAAAACTAAAGGAGATCATTTGGAACTAAGAAGATAAATAATAAACCTTGATTTAAAGTCAGGAGAAGCGAAATTCTCAGAAAAATTGGTAGAAGTTCTCATGCAAAGTACCAGGGGCAAGTCATTTCAAATGTTATAGCATATACAGGGCTGTGTTGTGGTTGGTTGTTGAAAAAGTCAGTATGGCCAGTAAAAGCTCTACTGTTCTTGTTTCTTATGTTAATTCCACACGCGACATATCCAACAAAAATCTGGTGGAGTTTTGATTTCATGGTTGTGGCAAACAATCTTTATCTATTTTTATCATATCTTGTAGACACTCCTGACAGTGGGTGTGTTGTGGAGGGAGTAGTAGCTAAGAAACAACTGAGTTGTGTCCACTCTACTATCCATAACTAGCCATAATTGAATTTTTACAATGTCTTGTTAACTGGAAGAATTTCTTCCCAGTTCCTTTATCTTTGAAAAAGTTGCTCTGTGGAGAAAATTACCACAATTGCTCAAAGGCTAATCATAACGAATGAAAGCTTCTATGAATTAACAGTCTTGTCTCTATTGTGCTTTTTATACTTGACTTCAATGTTATGTACTTACAGCTATTTAAAAACAAAAGCTTTTCAAAGAAAGCTTTTGCCTTTTTGAACAAAAGTTTTTAAACATGCTATTAATACCTACTTCAGTTGGTCAGATACTTAAAACAAAGAAAAAGGAGATTCTTCAGTTAAAAAAAAGAAACTAACACCACAGATATTAAATTGCCTTTACTGAAGTTTTATTATGAAATATCATATGTTTTATATGAGTTGTATGAAGTTATTCAGCTGCCTTTTAAGAAGCATGCAGAGTTAGAAAATCATTTAAAAAACAAGAAAACACATAAAAGAAATTATGAACTTTAATTACAAAGGGAAAATAACAAAGTAAATCCTAACCTCAAAACTATAACCAGGTTTTAGGAGGTTGTGTTGACCCCACAGAGCAGAACAGATCTTTTAGATTTGCTTTTTAGACTTTCAAAGAATGCTACAAAAGCACATTGCTAAATGATAAATCACTTTAGATAATGGCATCATTATGTTGTTCATTAGCCAAGAATGAAACAGTAGGTATTTTAATCTAAAAATTTACTTGTCATTTCTGTCCCCTAGCAGAGACAGTTTGATAATAATTTCCATGATGGTGTTATGGTGGATGCTAACACAAGGGGAATTCCAAGTCTATATATACACATTGTACACATTCATTTAACTGAGTTCTAGCAATGTCTGCTGATTTCAAGGAGAACCAACTTTTGGACCAGGATATTGTAAAATTATGAAACTGCAAATGGAGTTTATTTTAAATTATTTTAAAAAATATGTATAGATGTACAAAAAGGTTATTTATGTATTGGTTAGAGCAGGACTGTCATACTCATGGCCTGCAGGCCAGATGCATCATGCGCTGGCAATGCCCACGCCTGGTTTAGCGAAGGGAGAAAAAGTCCCGAAACGTCACGCGATGCTGCCATGACGCTGTGAGTTTGACACCCCTGAGTTAGAGCATTCTTAGACTTTTATTTTATTTATATTTCAAAATGATCAGTAAGTATTAAAGAGTTCACATTTTAAATTTTTCTAAGCTGATTTTGTGAAGTTTTTTTTCCTCTTTCCTTCTTGGAACTATGATCTTATTTCTTTTCAAGGTGGAACTTAATCTGCCATCAGGAAATCCATTTCAGGACACTACTCTTAATTCCCAAATGGCTTATTATTGCACTTTCCTTTTTTGCTTTTCCTTCTTTAAACAACCTCAGCCATGCCTTATTAAGATATACACATGTAATTTTGTGCTTAACCAGGTGTATTTTGTGCTTAACCAAATGCATTTCCACTTCATTTGTTTAATCAGAATTTTAAATATTATACCAGCAAATTCCATCCATATTAAAATTTGATTCTTAACTTCCCAAATATAAATTAGTAGTAGTAGAATTTATTTATCAAGTCTCAAAGGAAAGGGTACATTTTTCCATGGTTTTATATGTATATATACCAACTAAATTATTTGTTTGGCTATTGTTATACATACATGGCTACTGGATACATTTATCAAATCATATTACCTTTTAGTGTAACCACATAGGAATATGTTTTTGAGTTCAAAGTACATACCCGAGATATATGGTAATAACTTCCTTGCATAGCATGCTGTAATCCTGAACTTGAAAGGAAAATATAGTCACATTTATGGAAAGTAAGTGCTGGATAAAAGATAAAATGCAAAATGTCTCTCAGAACCCATGAAAAGATTTGTGACAACTATCTTGGCCAATAAATTTCTTAACGTTGGAATTCTTGAGTTCCCATTATAAATTGTGAGTCTGAATTTTTCATATTATTTATCTTCTTTTGCTGCCTTTCCCCACCCACCCCCCAAAGCAGGTAGATCTCATCCATAGTATTATTATCTGTTGTTTCACATACCACAACTGATAATTTAAGACTTTGATCTATAAATGTTTTTGCATATCTATTGATTTGGCCCTTTTTTGGTAGAAAATGGTAGAGAGGATTTTTTTTACAACTGATAAATGTGTTTTTATGGGTTAGGACTAGATTGTCTGCATGCCTATATTTGCTGCTGCTGCTGCTGCTGCTGCTCCTCCTCCTGCTCCTCGACCTTGAATATCATTGGCTTGTGGGCTTCCATGTGATTGTAAGCTGTAGGTCTTTTCACTTGGTTATGGTTGAACTTGCCAGTTGTGGGGATCCATATTGCTTCCTCACAACAGCTGGCTGCGTTCTTCCAAGTGATTTGTTTGGCTGACAATGGAAAAAAAATCAAATTGATCATACCACATACTGCGGTATCTGGTGAGCCATTCTGTTGTGTCCATGGAGATGCGTACTGTGGGCACTACTACTTTCAGCCAGTTCTTAATTTTGCTGCCAAACACTAGCTGCTCATTGAACATTTGTACTAATTGAGCATTGCACAATCAGTCTGTTGATAGCAGTAGTGTCCAGTGACGTTATCAAGAAGCCTCTTCCCCCAAATTATAAAAGAACTTAGAGTAGACAAGTTAGCATGACGGACTAGCTGTGAAAAAGGTGATTCCTTCTGTTATCAGTCAGCTATTGCAGGAAAATCACATGGAACCTCTTAACTGGACAGACCCAGAAACATCTTATTGAAAGGGCAAATTCAGGTGTATTACACAGACAACCACAACAGAAGAAAGAGAAAATGTGCTTGTGGGAGGAAGAAGAGTATCATAGGTTCTGGAACCTAATCCCCCAATTCCTATATAGATCCAAGTTTTTGCTTTTTAAGATTTCATTATTTGCAGTATTACACTGGAATAGATGTCTCACGGGCCACCTGAATGTAAAAAAAAAAATCCTACCTAAGGCTTTATAAAAAAAATTAACTGAATAAAAGATGATTATAAGTTGTCATCATGTTAATATACTCAAACTAGTTATTACAACAGTGAATTCAGAAATTAATCTATAAAAAATAAAAAAATTAGGTTGGTTTTTTTTCCAGTTCACATCAAGGATTTCTTGGGAAAATTCAAATCTGAACAAAATAATTTGTTTCCCTTATTTCAAAAAAAGCCTTATCTATCATAACTGAATACAATAATGATAATTATGTAAAGCTAAGGCTTGTTTTGTGAGCCCAGTTATGTAATACTGGTTTAATGTTATGCAGCAGCATTCTAAATTAACTCAATATTTTGTTAACATAACTTTCATCACCTGTGCCAGGAATACCTGCAAAAAGTAATAATTATAAATACCTGCCATGTGCAATAAAATGATGCTAACCTTGTAGCTCAGTAGAGAAACTGAATATGCAAGGCAAATGAGTAAACTATAGCTGAATAGCCCATTGTTGAAATATAGAGGCACAATGACTGGGAAGGGCTAGATTTATTTACCTCTCAGAAAGTAGCACTGTAGTCTGGAGAAATTATCTAGGATATACTAAGGCATTTGAGAAGTTTTTTGGAAATAAGAAAAATGTGAAGGGACATTATATCATGCTTGGTAGACATGTACAACAGCTAAAAATACAGTACTTCAGGCCTATCTGATATAAAATAAACCCCAGCTGTTCCCATCTTTAAGATGGTATGCTCATCTCTATCACCAGCTATGTTTTTTTACATATGTAGACAGCAAATCATATTGTCTAGTTACCTTTTAATCTGTGGTTTATTTTGTTATTTTTATATATAAAAACTGAAATTAAACTGAATGGCCTTGTAAATTGAGCATCCTTTAAGCATCTGTCAAATTTTAAAATATTTTAACGTACAAGTTTTCATGTTAATATAAGATGATAGAAATCAAGAAAGAAAACAAATCACTAACTTATTTTTTTTCTTTTTTTCTTTGTAGTTGACTTGCCACTGTACTTTCCTCGGGATCAGCCAACTTTGACATTTCAGTCTGTCTATCATTTTACTAATAGTGGAGAACTATATTCTCAAGCCCAGAAAAACTATCCCTATAGTCCACGATGGGATGGCAACGAAATGGCCAAAAGAGCAAAGTAAGTCATATTTGGATGGGATAGCTGTGATATATGCATTTTTTTAACAAGCTTAATAATTGTCAGATTTGTTTCCTTAAACATAATTGTATGTTCATGCTACTCTATCTATACATATCTGCTTTTTTACTTAAGTCTAGATTTCTTCCCATCCTTCAAATCACAAAAGTTCTTGCATAATGAATCAAAACCCCTATGTCACTACTCTTGTTGAACAGAGCATAGAAGATCTCCAAGCTCCTTGCCAAATTGCCATGTTCCCCAAATTTGAAGTTGCCTTAGTGAAATAAGGAGTGCTTTCACAAAGAGTAGTGCTCTGTATCTGATTATAACCTGTTAACAAGAATGGTGATTTAGAGGTTTTGAATAGAGAAAAACAACCATATAAGACAATTGAAACGACATGCAAATTTATATACAGGTTGTCCTCAGCTTACATCCCATCATTTAATGACTGAAGTTTTGGCACTCAGAAAGGTGCTTTATGAACTTGAAAAATGTCACCATCACTCTCTCACAGTCATCTGATCATAATCTTGGTGTTTGACAGCTTCTTCTCACTTACAGCTGGCTGTCATGTACCCTGCAATCATGTGATTACTATTTGCAGTCTTAGATGAATTCCCCAGAAAATCCATAACAAAGCTAGCAGGAAATCTGCTGTTTCCACCCCTTTGTGCACAGATGGGGAAATCTTTGTCAGGCTGGAGAAATGGAAGTCAGATCTTCAAGATCCAAGCTGGAATAGACAGACAGACAGACAGACAGAATGCTTTATTGGCCAAGTATCATTGGACACACAAGGAATTTGTCTAGGTGCATATGCTCTCAATGTACATAAAAGAAAATATACATTCATCAAGAGTCAAGAATCATAAGATACAACACTTAATAATAGTCATAGGATACCAAAAGCAATCAAATCATACTAGGAAACAGTCAATAAAAATTGTTAGGATACAAGCCACAGTTATAGTCATACAGCCATAAGTGGAAGGAGATGGGTGAAAGGAAGGATGGGAGGATTAATAGTAATAGTAATGCAGACGTAGTAAATAGTTTGACAGTGTTGAGGGCAGGGGTGGGATTCTACCGGTTCGGACCGGTTCTCTAGAACCGGATGTTATGAGTCTCACAGTTCAGAGAACTGGTAAATCGCACCCCTGGCTGACCCCGCCCCTTCCTTCCCACCCCGCCCAGTTATTCCTCATCTCACCCACTATTGCTCACCTGCCTTCACCCGCCATTGCTGCCTGCTTTCCACTGTGGCCATGGGTGAGTGAGCCTACAAGCAAGCTCCGGTCGAGTTGACTCCTGGACCAGCCTAGGCCGCTGCTCTGTCCCTCCCCCTGTCCCTGGGCTTGCCTGGATTGCCTCACCATGACCTAGCTAGCTAGCTGCTCCCCAACTGCAAGGCCGTGGCCGTGCTGGCCAGGAGAAAAGGGAATGTTGTATTTTTCTCCTGGCCACGAAGAAGCCATGGGGCCATGGCAGCGCTGGCCAGGAGAGAAGGGAATGTCCTTTTTCTCCCCCTGGTGCTGCTGGATCTGGCCAGGGTAATGCGCCGGTGTGCTCTGCTGCCGCTGCCTCCGAAGCAAGGAAATTCCTCACTACCGGCACGTTTCCAGGATGCGGTGCCACCTCTCTCCCCCCCCTCTCTGTGCATGCAATGGAAATGTCCCTTCGGGTGACTCTTCTCTTCCTCCTCCTCCTCTCACGACTGGCAGCTATCGGGGAGGGTGCACATGCACGGGAAAATGCTCCTCAAGTGAGTGACAAAGCACAGAAAAACTGGGCACGGGGCAGGCGGCTGCTCGTTTGAGGAGCATTTCCCTGTGCATCTGCATCCACCGCCACCATAGCCACCGGTCACAAGAGGAGGAGAAGGGTCGCCCAAAGGGACACTTCCACCACCTGTGTGTGTGTGTGTGTGCGCGCACACACACACACACACAGGGAGGGAGAGGGGAAGATAGGGAGAGGGAACGTTCTCTTTCTCCCCCTTGGGCTGCTGGATCTGACTGGGGGAACACCTGGGTGTGCTCTGCTGCTGCTGCCCTCCGAAGCTGCCCAAGGAAATTTCCCACTGCCAGTGTGTTTCCAGGATGCACTGCCACCTCTCTCCCACCCCCCCTCTCTCTGTCTCTGTCTGTCTCTCACACACACAGAGGGGAAGATAGGGAAAGAGAGAAAAAGAGAGGGAAAGAGAGAGAGAGAAGAAAGAGAAGAAAAAGAAAGAAAGGAAGGAAGGGAGAGGTAGGAAGGGAGGAAGGGAAGATAGGAAGGAAGGGGGGGAGAGAGAAAACCCTGTGCTATTATTTTTAATTGTACCATTTTTTATCATATATTAATATTTTGCACTATCCCTACACCTAGAGTGATTTTATTGCCTTTCTTTGCCCAGGTATTTTTCAGGGTTTACATGTCTATAGTCCAGAGCATAAATACATGTGTGTTTAACAGAGTTGAAAGGGACAATGGAGATCTTCTAGTCCAACCCCCTGCTCATGCAGGAAAACTGAGGATACCAAAGTCTGAGTAGAGGTCCTGGGAAAGATGTCAGAATAACAGAATAACACTTAGAAGGGCTTTGGGGGGAACCCTATACCGTTTCAGAGAAACGGCTGTTCAATCTTTTCTTAAAAACTTCCAGTGATTGAGCACCCAGAACTTTTGGTAGCAAGCAGTTCCACTGGTTAATTGTTCTCACTGTCAGGAAGTTTCTCCTTAGTTCTAGGTTGTATCTCTCTTTGTTCAGTTTCCATCTATTGCTTCTTATTTGTCTTCTGGTGCTTTGGAAAATACGTTGCCCCCTCCCCCCCACCTCTTTCTGGCAGCCCCTTAAAAGCCTGTTGCCTATCACACTCTTGAACAAAGCATGTGAGCCATTTCTTCCTTTCAGTGGTCCATGAAAGTACATCTATAGTACATAGATAATAAAGTCAAAAAATGGTGAACAACATTTTTACAGAACTATAAAGTTGAGGCTGGGTGTGACAAGGAATGGCTGGGAGGGGAGGGTCCAGGCGAGGCACCCCTTGACGTGAATTACATTGAGTTGGTCATGTCCACACAGTCACATGACCACCAAGCCACTCTCAGCCACTCATGTGACCACCAAGCCAAGCCCAGCCAGCAAGCCACACCCACAAATTAAGCCACACCCATAGAACCAGTTGTTAAGAAATTTGAATCCCACCCCTGGTTGAGGGAATTATTTGTTTAGCAGAGGGATGGCAATTGGGAAAAAACTGTTCTTGTGTCTAGTTGTTCTGGTGTGCAGTGCTCTGTAACGTCATTTTGAGGGTAGGAGTTGAGACAGTTTGTGTCCAGGATGTGAGGGGTCTGTAAATATTTTCACATATTTTCACAGCCCTCTTTTTGACTCGTGCAGTATACAGGTCCTCAGTGGAAGGCAGGTTGGTAGCAATTATTTTTTCTGCAGTCCTAATTACTCTCTGAAGTCTGTGTCTGTCTTGTTGGGTTGCAGAACCAAAGCAGACAGTTATGGAGGTGCAGATGACAGACTCAATAATTCCTCTGTAGAATTGAAGCTCTTTGGGCAATTTGAGTTTGCTGAGTTAGTGCAGAAAGAACATTCTTTGTTATCCTTTTTTGATGAAGTTTTTGATGTTAGTGTCCATTTTAGGTCTTGAGACAGGAGGAGTTCTCTCCCACACACGGAGAGCAGGGGAAATCCCACAGCTGGTTGCAGAAACAAACTTTGGATCTTCAGGACTGCAGTCGTTAAATGAAATGGTCACATGAATATTTCACTTAATGACCACTTTGCTCAATGACTGAGATTCTGGTCCTAATTATAGTTGTAAGTCAATAACAGATCATTATTAGAAACTGGTCACAAGGAATTTTCAGACCAAATTACAAGTTGGTGCACTAAGGCATGTATTGCAGTTGGGCCGTACAGTTGTTTTGGGAATTGGATTAATAATGTATTCTTTAAATGCCTACACATGCATTCAAAGAATACATACATATAGACCAAACAGAAATTTTCATTAGTTTGGTACTTTGTCTGCAGCAAACCTTTCTATAGACTCTTCACTTCCTAAGTATATTTGAGCAGAAGAGTTTATATATTCAAATTTATGAATCCTACTTCCAATGGAATATTATTGACCTTCCAACATTTAAGAGAAATACTTTCTTCCTTGTTTCAAAAAGCTAGCATTCTAACAATTAACTGTGAGTTGCTGTAGAGGTGTCAAGCTACCTATAAAATCCTGATTTACTGCAGATGAAAAAAACACTCTTCCTTTGTCAAGTATGTTGAACTTCTGAAAGACTTGGAGTTTTCAGCAATCATCTCACTGGCACAGATGAGGAAATAATGGTTGCTTCTATTATTTTGTGCCCAAACCTATGGTGCAGTTATGCAACTATACTTATTAACCTTATTATACCATCATTCAACAAGTCTATTGTTCCTAGTGTTATTGCTAAGCAACTGTTTGCTTTATTTAACATCAAGGGTTCAAGTACTTTGTTAAATAACTCCAAAAACCCATGAAAATGAAAAGAAAATAAAGCAATAAATCAAGGACATAAATATCAGAGGATGGACAAATGTATAAAGGTGCCTTACATATAATAATCAAACTGCAAAGTGTTGAAAGACCAATAAGTTAGAGATTGCTGAGCAACATAAATAAATCAATATAGCACCTAAGTCTTTTGGCTAACTTGAAATGAGTTAGAAGAAAAAGAGAAAGCAGTCAGCAAAATATATAATGTACCTTCAGAAATGAAGGCAAGTGACGTGAAAGTAAGTACTATGGTTTTAGAGTAATATTTTATTTATTTAATATTTATTAAATTTCTATGCTGCATATCTCTCTTACAAGGTGAGTGGGCAATTAATTTATTACTCTGGGCAGTAATAAATTAGTAGTTAAACCACTGAAATATAGGAAAGTTTTATCTCTGATAATAACAGCAGAGATATAATTAGAGCTGGAAGCTTTAATTGATTAGTTAGT